TCCTTTTTCTCTTTTCTTTTTTTCTCACCCTTTTTCTTTTTTCTCTTCTCCTTCTTCCTCCTTCTCCTTCTTCTCATCCTTTTCCCTTCTTCTTCTCATCCTTCTCTTTTCTCATCCTTCTCCTTCTTCTCATCCTTTCTTCTTCTTCTCATCCTTTCTTTCTTCCTTTTCTCACCCTTTTCCCCTTCTTCTCATCCTTTTTCCTTTTTTCTCATCCTTTTTCCTTCTTCTATTTTCTCCCTTCTACCTTTCTTTTTCTCATCCTTCTCCTTCTTCTCATCCTTCCCCTTCTTCTCATCCTTCTTCTTTTTCTCATCCTTTTTCCTTCTTTTCTCATCCTTTCTTCTCATCCTTTCCTTCTTCTCATCCTTTTTTTTCTCATCCTTCTCCTTCTTCTTCTCCTTCTCCCTTCTTCTCATCCTTCTCCTTTTCTCATCCTTTTCTCCCCTTTCCTTCTTCTCACCCCTTCTCCTTTTTCTTCTCATCCTTCTCCTTCTCCTTCTTCTCTCCTTCTCCTTCTTCTCACCCCTCCCCTTTCCTTTTCTATCCTTCCCCTTCTTTTTTCTTCCTTTCTTTTTTTTTTTTTTTTCTCCTTCTTCTCATCCTTCTCCTTCTTCTCTTTCCTTCTCCTTCTCCTTCTTTCCATCCTTCTCCTTCTCCTTTTTTTTCATCCTTCTCCTTCTCCTTCTCCTTCCTCATCTCCAAGGGCATTTAAAATCTAGTGATTGTAAACCCACAAGTAAAGTGCAAATGTGAAAAAATGTATATATATAAAGTGCATATACATAAAGTATAGGCTGAGCCTGTCCCCCAAGACATTCTGATGAAATGCGTAAGAAGTGACTTGCACGTGACATCATCACACACGAGGCCGATTTTGATCTGCGATTTTTGCATTGCAAGCTATCAGCCTGCTATTTTCCCTTTTTTTATTTGCTTACCTTGTAATGTGAGGATATAAGCGTTGTATGGAAATCCTTTTGGATGTCTAAACAAATGGTGTAAAACCTTTTTTATACATACTTCACCATGGAAGTGTATTTTTTTATTTTCCGCTGATAATGGAATCCAACTGCGGAATGCTTCTTGTCACGTTAGCAGATATCTCTGGATGGAGTTGTATTAAGGCGATTCTGACCATTTATAACTTGATGTGTTCACCCTATCTGGTAAAAGGCATCTGTCAGCAGGGTGCACTTGGTGATGGATTCTGACTTTCTATGACGCACATTACATCTATGGAGTGATCATTTCCTACACACTGTGAAATGGGTAGCGCTTCCAGAAGCACGTTTATATATGGATGGACTGAGTTCACATTTATTTTGATGAATTGTTTTCCTATGCACTTTAATTTTCAGGATCCATAAACATATGGACAATATATATGCACTTTATGCATAAGCACTTTATATATATATTTTTCACATTTGCACTTTACTTGTGTGTTTATAATCACATTTGATGATTCATTTTTATTGATAAGTATTTGATTTACATCAGTGCTGCTTTTTTAATTGTATTTTTTTATTCTATTGGTTGAACTGGATGGACTTGTGTCTTTTTTCAACCTGACTAACTATGTAACTATAAATTTCAGAAGGGAAATCAATCATATTGGATTGCTGCTGCTGTATGAAATACAAGGAATAATGTATGAGTAAACAATATTATTACTCATGTGATTTATGTAAATTCAGAATACAGAGTTGTTGATGCTGTCCCAAAGAATTGTAATGTTCTGTAAAACCACTGTCATATGGGAGCTCAGGATCACTGCCAGCCACTTGTAAAAGTGACAGTTTTCAATGGTGTTTGCAAACAGTCCAGAAAACAAAACAGCTTACTTGCAGCAAAACAAACACAAAATGGTCCATATCTCTGATTCACATGGCAAAAACAAGGTAATAGTGTACCGCCACCTTGCCAGTCCCAATCTAGGGTTTTCCATCAGCTTTATGGGTCCCAAAGAGGAGGTTTTCACAGCTCAGCAAACATGGCTCAGTCCTGAGCTGAGTTAATCCTATTCACTTCAGCTCTCTCTCACAGCCCAGTTGCTGACTATTTTATCTTCCTTTTCTGGGCTCTGAGTCCTCTGGGTTAACCCCTCCAAAACCAAAGTCTGTGTAATCAAGGTGGGAAGATTCTTTCCACCCAAAACTTTTTGAAGTATAAAATTCTGGGTCCCTAATAGGGACTTACCAATCCGGATGGTAATGAAAATCATTCCTTGCCTCTCCAGACAGAGTACCCCAGAACCTCTCATCCTGCATGGGTAAGGACCCCCTAAATACTCAACATTACCTTCATATTGTCCTCAATAGTAGAGAAAAAGTGGGGAAATGTACGTTTAGGATCCAACCCTGGTGTCCTGTACACCACAGACCTTTAAGGCATCCCCAAGCATATTATTTAAAATATTTGTGTATTTACTCTTAAGATTTGTGTAATGTTACTCTTTAAGCCATCTGAAAATACCCTCTGCACACTAACTGCCATTTTTTGTTTAATTATGTCCTCCAGAGCATTGTTCAGTTTCCTAAGTCCTTTCTTTGACAACCCCTTGCTGTACAGCATCTACTGATTTAATTCAGGTGTGAATGGGCTTCTGGACTTTGGACAATTTCACTGAACATCCCATAAACCAAACCAAGCTTTATTCTGCATATTCCTAATGTTGATTTTTCAATACCAGACTTGTTATGTGTAACTATATGTGTAAATGGTTAAAATTGAGCATCATATGAAAGGGTAATTTTAATAACCTTGCTGGTGTGGTAGAAGTATAAAACAATGTTAATTAAATTGATAAATGTTCTGGAAAACATGTGGGATTCCCATATTCCTATTCAGATATAGCACTGATTGACTGTCCTGGACTACAAAAGAAATACTCTTGAGGGAATTCATAAAGAGCGTTTAGAATTTTATGGGGAGTCTCACCAAAATTGTCTGTTGTAGTGCCCAGTTCAAGGACAGGTATGTTAATCTGTTGGTTCTGGGCCCTTTTGGACACTTCTTCCTTAATTCACTCTCTCCATTCCTCCTTGGCCACTGGGTCTATAACACTTAAAGGGCACATAGCCAAAGATTTTGTAGTAAGGATGGGTGGGTGTCAGACTCCAGGTAAGACCAGAGGTGTGTGGACTGACACAGGGAAACGCAGGCTTCAGGTATAGTATAAACAATACAATTTATTAAAGACTAAACAATACATAAACGCAGTGCAAGACTAAACATAAACACAGTGCAAACAAACAAAAACCAAACCTCCAACAGATAACAATAAGAACAATACTAAACGTAGTCGGGCAGGCCGGGTCGGTAGCAAACGGGCAGGCCGGGTCGGTAGCAAACGGGCAGGCAAGGTACAAGGAGCAGGCGGAAGAGTAGTCAGGAATAGCCGAGGTCGGTACAGGCAGAGTTCGTGCAGAGTCAGGATTCAAGCAGGCAGGATCAGGATACAGGGGCCAAGGGAAACTATACACCAAGGCACTGACTGCAGGCCTGGCCACTCCTTAAATACACCTACTGCACTCAGCCTCAGGTGATGACTTGATTGCAGGAGTGAGCTTCTGGCTGCTGAGAGCACCCGCTGGCCAGCCCTGGTACTGCAGCCCACACGGCAGGTGAGTCCCACCACCAGTGTTGAGTCCATTCCTGACAGTGGGTAAGTATGACAGAGAACTGAGAGACCAGCTTCAGCCCAATCCACCCACTGCCATGCTACGTCATGGCAATATTCAGTCCAAACCATCCACAGCTTCCCAACAGCACAATTCTCCACTCTGAGAACTGGTGTACCTTTGTGTGCAGGCTCAGAGCTAGTCTTTATTGCCACCAGTTTTTTAATCTGCAGACTGTCATTATTTCGTTACGAACCTATCGCTGCCATAGTGACAGGTTTTTAAAGTGGCAGTAGTTAGAACTACCTGAATTTGTTGCCATTGTTGGTAATGTTAATGTACTGTAATGTTAGTGTAATTTTCTAAAGGGAACTACTGCCAGAAAAGCAACATTAAAGTGTTACTAAACCCATAACCCTGCATTCACTATATCCGGTCTTCCACAGTACACACAACATTAAAATCCAATTATTTTAGTGAATATAAACTGCTAAATACCTTTTCTCATCAGCAGTACATAGCAGTCTTGTGACCGCTATTAGTGTCCACCTGAACACTGGTTAAAGCTTGTAGGAGGAGTTTTTATTCTGCTCTGACTGTCCTATGAGGCTGCATATCCCCTGGCCCTTTGTCTGGACAGCGCTGATTGAACCTGTGCTGATCACATGCACCCTCCCAAAGAAAAAAAAACCCCTCTAGCAATACATACCATACTGAGCATGTGCAGAGTGACTCCTAAAGCTCTGTTCTATCAGCAGATGTATTAGGGACTGTGGAAGAAGGGGAGGATCATAGAAAACAAGATAAAACAGCCTTTTTACACAATGCGGAGGATTAACCCCTTAGGTTCCCCAGTGAGTATAACAAGCATACGTTACTGCTTATACAGACTAATTTTGCTGTTGTGGGTTTAGTAACACTTTAACACTTATTTGAACACTTATTAAAGTAAATGTTACTTCCTGTACAATTGCCCTTTGTGCATTTAGCTGGTCACTACTGCATTTGAGGTCTTAGTCAGGAAAAGCTAATATAATGTGTATCTGTTGTTTAACTATGTTTAGATCCATTTCTAGCTTCATTAGAACCATAGAAGCATAGAAAAGTGAAGGCAGAAAATGACTGAGTGGTCCATCGCGTCTGCCCATTTTTTTTGTTTGTTTTGTATTTTTGTTTTTAACCACTTGCCCTCCTGAGGATTTACCCCCCTTCTTGACCAGGCCATTTTTTGCATTACGGTGTTGCGTTACTTTAACTGACGATTATGCGGTCATGCAATGCTACACCCAAATAAAATTTACGTCCTTTTTTCCCACAAATTGAGCTTTCTTTTGGTGGTATTTGATTGCCTGTGCATTTTTTATTTTGTATGCAATAAAAAAAAGACCAACCATTTTGAGAAAAAAAACAATATTTTTTACTTTTTGCTATTAAATATGTCCAGTAAAAAATGTAAAAAATCAAATTTCGTCATAAATTTAGGTCAAAATGTATTCTGCTACATGTCTTTCCTAAAAACAATTCCAATATGTGTAAATTAATTGGTTTGTGTGAAAGTTATAGCATTTACAAATGGTGGTATAGATACTGGAATTTTTTTTTTTTGTTACTAGTACTGGTGGCAATCAGCAACTTATAGCGGGACTTCGGGACTGCGGTGGACATTCTGACACTGGGGGGAGCTGACTTGGTGTCACTGACATCCCCAGTGACACCAATACAGTGATCACTGCTAAAAAAAAAGCACTGACACTGTACTAATGGCACTGGGCAAGAAGGGTTTAACATGAGTGGCGTTGAGAGGGTTAACTGTGTGCAGGGAATGTTTTACTAGGGGGCCATGTCAGTAGGCTTCATTGTAAGCACACTGCTTTGGATGGTTGTGCTGTGCACAGCCATTCAAAGCAATGTGCCCTAGCTGACAAGGAGGAGGAAACTGTTAGTAAACAAAACAGTGCTCCCCTTTGGAGATGCTCAGTAATCACCAGGCGTCGGTGGGTAATCACTGGCCGGGACCCGGTGATTGACAGTCACGGCCCAGAATGGCAACGTGGGAAGGACGCGCTCCCCCTACCCGGAAATGCAAAATCATGTATATATACATGATTTTGAGCACCCGTGCCACCCTGTAGCAGTATATCTGCTACAGTATACCTGCTATAGTATATCTGCTACAGTATACCCTTACCTGGCCACACTGTTTGCTTATTTTGTAATCACCTGGAATAAATACCCCCAAATCCTTTTCCTCTGTAGTACTGGCTAACACTGTTACCCTAATATTGTTACTCTCTCAAGAGATTCTTTTCCCCTAGGTGCATTATTTTACATTTAGAAACAATGAACTGCATTTTCCACTCCATTGCCTGCATCCTCTTCTGAATAATGAAGGATCCTGAAACAGGAGCTTCTTTAGTCTGTGGCTGCTATAAGCATCCTGTTTGCGTTGTTTACTTGCACTCATAATGTATTGATGTTAATGTTGCATTCTGATATTGTGAATACTGTGTGATTTTTTTATCTCTGATTTCTTATTATCTAATTTTATTTTTTTTAACTAATAATGAACATAATCCTTTTTGATAATGGTAATTTTTTTTTTTTACTATTCATTTTTAAAAACAAATCACAGTTAATTATACACAACATTGACTGTACATCATTTGGTTGCTATTAGCCCCGAAGCACAACATACAGATCCTTAAAATGAGTTGACTTTTTGTGAACTTCTAATGAATGATTTGCCTTGTTTGAAAAAATACAGTGGCTTCTCAGCTGCTTACTATACTGCAGTACTTGTGACCCTATATTTTTGTGCTCTCCTTTTGCCAACTGGTTCACTGTCAGCACATGTGCACTAGAATACAACTTGACTGGCTCCTAATGCTGACTTACCCTCTCCCAGTCTGTTTTTGTGTACAGAAAATTACAGGAGGTTGATACCATAAGTACATAACTGAATTTTGCATCCATAAATAATTCTTTTTTCACTGACAATTGTCATGATAAAAGAAAAAACCTTCCATTGCCAACCACTTTGTGAAAATCAACAGTTTTCTCACTGTCGTGCTGATCCACAGGCTTCAATACTTTTTCAGCATAACTCACAGCACGAAAAGTCAAACAAAATTTTAATTTTAATTTAATCTGCATACAAGTTCCAGGTCAGTGAGATAGTAATTATTAATTCCAGAGGTTTATCATGACAGCAAGCCAAGTATAATTTCCAAAAGTTGGCAAACAAGGTCAGTCTATGTGTACTTGACTACTCTGGCTTTGGTACTCCAGTTATTATGGCAGCACCCAGATATTGCAGAGTTCCCCTTTAAACTTTAACATTTCTAACAGCATCTGCTTGCAAAGCAAGGTTTTCAGCTCACTTCCCCCTCCCTTATTTCCTGTGGAGTAATGTGTTCCAGTCTGTAGCTAGCACCCTTATCTGTAACTGGAATTCAAGGCTATAGTTTTCAGAGTTTAGAAAGTCTTTTGAATGTATAGAAAGTGAAAGAGGAAAAATATGCATTGTGATGTAATCATTGGTATATACGCTTGTAAGAAGTGGATACAACTCACTCGGCTTTGCAGGCATGAACCCGGCTGGGTCAAACAGCGCTGTTTTAATAAATCACTTGTTTTCTTCAAGGTCCGTGTCCGGAGTTTCCTGGTTTTCCAAAACTGCTACTACAGTATGTTTACATAGTTATTACATAAGTTAGTCTGACTGAAAAAAGACAAAAGTCCATCCAGTTTGACCATAGGGGTAAAAATAAAAAGTTATAATCCTATACCCTCAGTTGATTCAGAGGAAGGCAAAAAAAACAGCAAAGCATGATCCAATTTGCTCCTGCTGGGAAAAAAATTACTTCCTGATCCCCTGATGTTTGAGCTTAAGAAAAAATCACACACACTGATTCCTCAAAGTACAGGCAAATTCCACTTCTTGTTCACTTTACAATCTTTGTGAGACCAGGGCACAGAAAATTACAAAAAGCTTCCATGCCCCACAGGCTAAAAATAAAGTTTACACTCTTCTGACCTGGCATAACGATTCTGTCATGGATCAACTGTAGCCAGTTACAGGATTGTAAATGTGACAAATGCACCAAAAATCACACACGTAAACACAGAGGGGAAAGAAAAAGCACACAAAGGACGCAGAAATGGCACATATAAACACCGAGGGAAATGAGATCTCAGCAATCATCCACACACAGAGGGAAAAGAGATAACACACATAGACATAGAGGGGACAGAGCTAGTACACAGAGAGTACAGAGATTATATACAGAGGCAGAGATGTTTTGCCTACACACAGAGGTAGCAACAATGACACACATATTCACAGAGTGGACAAAGATAACAAGCACACGGAGGGGATAGATATGACACGCATACACACGGAGGGATAGAGATGACACATGCTCACAGATAGGGCAGAGATGGCAAGCATACACACAGAGGGGCAGAGATGATACACATCTTGCAGAGTGGACAAAGATTACAAATGCACAGAGTGGGCACAGATGACACATGTACACAAAGAGGGACATAGACATGACCAGGGGCGGACTGACCATTTGGAAACTCGGGCATTGCCCGAGGGCCCTGCGTCAGTAGGGGCCCCATGAGATGCCCGTGGTACCTTTTTCATAGGCTTTTTTGAGTTTGGGCAATGATGCAGGGGCCCCATGATCCCCTATTGCCCGGGGGCCCCATGAGTTGTCAGTCCGCCCCTGGACATGACACACAAACACAGGGACAGGGACAGGGATTACAAATCCAAAAAAGGAGACAGAGATTACAAATACACAGAGGGGACATAGATGACATGCAAACACAGAGAGACAGAGATGAAACATACACACAGAGGTGCAGTTATTGTACTCGCACAAATGTTAATTTTGAAGTCAAATTGCGATTTAGTTTTGTCATTGTCTTTTGGCTAAAATATATATATATACATTTATGTTTTAGTCGTATTTTAGTCATCTGAATTGTTTTAGTCATATTTTAGTTCACTAAAATCTCCAGTACATTTTAGTTGACTAAAATCCTTTTAGTCAACTAAAATCTAATGGGTTTAGTTAAATTGTAATGTAATATTTAAGCTTTTTTTCTAGAATTTCTAAACTCATTATATAC